CAGGGACTTGCCAGGCAAGGTTGGCATGTGTGGCTTACTGAGAAGTTCTGTCAGGATGCCCGCAACGCTCACTCCTCCGTCAAGGATCCGATGGTGTGGAGCCCCTGCACGACGCTCCAGGCGGAGGGGCAGCTGATTTCAGACCCCAAAAACCTGGTGGATGCTGAAGTAAAGATCCTCTCTAACCTCTGGCAGGTGAGGCAGACCCCTACGCTTCGAATCCGTATTTCGGAAGCCCTCCTTGACCTTTCCATTGAAGAAGTTGAGCAGGAAGTACCCTTCTAGGAGCGCGACCTGCTGCGATGGCTTTCACTTCAGGCAGTACCAACAAATCAGCGATGCGAGTCTCAAGGTCCTGTGTAGTATCTACTCCGATGGAAAAGTCTGGAGTTCTACCTACTCTGAGTTCTGAGGTCCTGGTGGCCCTCTTGGCGAAAGGAAAAAGGGTGCGACTGGCCCATCGAGATTTTCCCTTCGATTTCCCGCCTCTGGGGGCGGATCAGGCGTCCGCTGGCGGAGGCATGGGAAGTGAAACACTTCAGGGGCCATTGGGATGCGGGTGAGCACCGAGGAACTTTAGATTGCGCGTGGCGTCAAGGCTTCCGCTCCGAGGCGGGGATCAGGAAGGGATCGGTCTCCGCCTCGGTCCTGTGGGACATGTATAAGCACTATGAGCTGCTGGACTTAGACGCCATGGAGGTGAGGGGCTCCAAGCTTGGCTTCCCCTTGGCCCTTGGGGGTCCTGAACGTGTGTCTGGCCCCGTACACATCCTCCAGGTTTGTGTGTGTGTGTCTCTCGGGCATCGTTGTGGGTGGGGCCCATTCTGGCCACCACCAAGATCATCGCGGGCTGCAACATGGCCGCCACGTTGCTCCGTGTTTGCGCGTTGGAGCCCTTTGACAATGCTCCCAGACCCGTGAGCATGCCACGATCGAACGCACGTCCAATGAACTGCGGTCCTTCGATATCTATATCGACGGCACGTGTTGTTCGGCAACAGTTCATCGTCCGATGTGTACGACACAATCCTCAGTATGGCCTCCCTCTTCGTCCTCCTCCTCCTCCTCCTCCTCCTCCTCCCCTTCCTTCTTCTCCTCCGCATCATCAGAACCAGCTTCATCATCATCGTCATCCTCATCATCATCATCATCAGCAGCAGCAGCATCATCAGCATCATCAGCAGCATCATCAACTGCATCATCAGCATCATCATCAGCATCAGCAGTATCATCATAATCATCATCATCAGCATCACCAGCAGCAGCAACAGCATCATCGTCATCATAATCAGCAGCATTATCACCACCATCATCATCAGCATCGTCATCAGCATCATCATCAGCAGCGACATACTCATCAGAATCAGCATCATAATCACCACCATCACCATCATCAGCATCAGCATCAGCATCATAATCAGCAGCATCATCATCATCATCATCATCAGCAGCAGCAGCATAAGCATCAGCATCGTCAGCAGCATCATCGTCATCAGCATCATCATCATCATCATCCTTATCATCATCATCATCATCGCCATCATCATCAGCAGCATCATCGTCATCAGCAGAATCATCATCAACATAATCATCATCATAATCATCATTAGCATCATCATCAGCATCAGCATCATCATCACCACCACCATCAGCATCATCATCAGCATCATCATCAGAATCATCAGCATCATCATCAGCATCATCAGCAGCGTCATCATCAGCATCATCAGAATCATCATCACCATCATCATCAGCATCAGCATCATCATCATCATCATCAGCAGCATCATCATCATCGCGGCGATTCGCCAGATTCTTGGGGGCTTCACAGCTCAGGAGAACGTGGCCCTGGTTTGCTCGTGTCAGATCCTTGGCAACGGGCTTGATGCCGACCTTGGAGGCTACGGCGAGCTTCAGGACGCGGCAGTCAAACTTGGCTGTGACGACACCGCGGGGACCGCGTTCAGGCTAGGCAAGGGAAGGATGAAGAAGAGGGACCAGAGAAAGAAAGCGATGAGGAGTAAAGTCAAGGGTCTACAATGTATCCGGAAGCACTCCCTGGAGGAAAGCTGTCCGTGTTTTCAACTCGGGACGGGTGACTGGGAAGATTCTTGGCGGTGAAATGAACGGCCTTGTGGGCGAAAAGTTTCGAGGCCAATGAGTGCCATGCTCCTCAGCCTCAAGAAATTGGGCTGGAGCATGAGTAACCGTGTCCTTTTCACCGCCGACGTTGGCAGAGAGACTTCGGGCGCCCAACACTCTCCAGCCATGATCAAAGTATGCTTGAGGCAGGCGGTCCTATGTCAGCTAGAAGCGGCCTACTCCAAGCTGGTACATGGGGTCCGTTTTGCGGAGTCCGAGCTCCTGGCCTGTGCCGTCAGCTCAGCTGCCCTTCTGCCTGCAGGCGATCTGGCGACCGATCGGGCAAACTCTGTTTCGATGTTGTCATGGCTGGCCTAAGCTTGAAAAAGCTCACGGCCTGGGAGAAGGGGCGTGTTCGGGCCTCAGTGAGCAACGCGATCCGGACCAACGCCAGAGCTTGTAGATACGGCTACCAGCTGAGTTGTCTGTGCCCTCTGTGCAAAGCTAAGGTCGAGCGCATGTTTTGCAGGCTGTGGGAGTGCGAGGCCTGCCAGGACGAGAGGCTTGATTCGGTAGGTGCAAAGATGATTGAATGGGCTGAGCAGGCGAGTGCAGAAAGTTCAGCAGAGCTTATCCAGTTTCTCACCGTCGCCTTCGAACATCCTGGGGATGTGGTCCCTTCCCCTGTGGCTCAGCATGGTATGGATGGCGTTCAGGTTGAACCGTTCCCAGAAGGCTTGACGGCTTCTGATCTGGAGTTTCCTGGGCCCAAGCAGGTCAGATTCGAAGGCAGTGCGTTCCTAGATGGAAGCTGCTTCGCTTCCAGTGTTAAGGAGCTCTCGAGCGCTGGGTGGGGTTTTGTTGTGGTCTCCGACCTAAGGCATGCTCTTGCGATGGTTTACGGATCCGTGTGGGCCAACTTGCCCCAGACGGCACAGTCGGGGGAGATCTCCTGCCTCGCGGCTCAGGGTTTCAACCTCGACGGATCGGCCACTCTCTACTCCGACTGTGCCTCTGCGGTTTCCTCAGGATCCAAGGGTCCCAAAGAACGGCTCAGTGGGCACAGGACCCACGCGGGGTACATCTCGCAGGCCTTTTTCTGGAGCTGGGGCTGAGCTCGAGTGCCTAGTCAAAGTTGCTGCGCACAGAGACTCTCTGGAGGAGGACATCTCTGCGCAAGAATGATGGAGGCGTAAGTGCAACGATGTGGCGGACCGCGCTGCGAAGGCAGGAGCGACGATCCACCCGAAGGGTTCCCCCGACGTCCTCCAACAAGTGGATCGCTCGATCCCTATTTTGCCAGAGCCGTCGTCAAATCGAGAGCCAAGTTGCTCCCGAGATGGTCCAAGCTCGACGTTACAGATATTGCATTCATCAGGCCTGCCAAGGAGGATGAGGTGTCTGAGATCGAGGCCCACCAGTGGGCTTGGATCGGCGAGTTTCGGCCGTGCGGTGTTTGTCTTTGGGACCGTCGCGGGGGGTCCCGTACTGGGCCTGGCCGCTGGGTGGCCCCTCCCCGGCTGTGCCCCGAAACCCAGGAGAGTAACGGCCACCAGTGTGCAGTCGTCGATTGCAGTGACGGCTCGTTCCGCTGCATCTGCCGTCGATGTGTTTGTTACGGCTCGGGTGGCCGCACCGTGAAGATGAGTCAGCTTTTCCTGCCTGCCCTGCCTGCGCAGGCCACACAGCCTGGAAAGATTTCTCCCAGACAAGGCACCCACAGCAGAACAAAAGGGAGAATGATGGCAAGTTCCGTCTCCTCTCCCTGGACGTTGTAAGAAAGGCTTGGGAGAGTTGCTCCCTTGAAGAGGGGGTCGAGCAGGCGCCGATTGTTTGTTTTGCTTATTTAGCCTTCTCAAAAAAAAACAAATGGAAGCTGCGAGCATGATAAAAACCTACGTGATCTGACTCTCTCCTCCTGCTCATCCCTTTCCATCCGTGCCCAACCAAAGTATCCCACGTCCCTCCCTACTCATCCTCCCTTCTCCATCCAACATACTTCATCCGCCCTTACCACTCATCCCGCAGTGCGCTTGCCGTCTTCCATCGTCTCCATTACATTCAAAAGCATTGCTACGGTTGTCATTCGGGGCGCTTTACAACGAAGACAACAGCTCGGAGCTGAGACCAGCGATAGCAACAATGACACACAAGCGTTCCGTGCAAAGATGAAATCAGAGGCGGGATGATTGACGAACACCCTCCATGGTGACAGCTGCGGCAGGAGATGACTGTGCCCCAGAAATACACTCTTTGATGTTTGGGCGCATTGCCATGGATCCCGAAAACCTGGGAACCCTGGAGTCCGAGCCAAGAACTGGAGCCAGAAACTACAAGAAAAGTTCAAGCGATGTCCAGACAGGTCTTTTTGAATACTTTTCCAACGTGGATTCGGTAGATTTGGACAGCTGGAAAGGGTCTTCCCTAGCGCAAACGGCGCGGAAAATCTACTGCCAACTGCCATGCCGTGCGCGTGCCACAACACAGGGTGACAGAGCACTTCTTGGCACCTGTTCGAAAATTAAAACAATGCCGGAATCTTCGGCCGACCGAGCTGGAGAAGTACTTTAGTACTCGGCCGACCGACCCTGCGCAAGAGCGGACGAGCAAGGTACTCGACCGAGCGAGCTGGACAAACGCATTCTGTGGAGCACAAGAAATATCACGGCGGCCATCGCGTCAGACCTGGCGGCCACCCCAAAGCACGTGAGCCGAGACCCTATTGTGACTGCCCACCCCGATAGGCCGCGATGCCCATCTAGTTCTTCTGGGTCTGGCTTTCCGGATCGTCGCTCTTCTTCGCCTCGGCGTCCACCAACGAGAAGCACCTCTCCGCGAACCAATACAGGTACACCGGCGCTGCCAGAGCCCCACCGAGGAATGGGGCAATGAGAAAGACCCACAAATCCTCTCGTGCCTCATCCTGGTCTGCGAAGATTGCGGGCCCGACGGAGCGAGCCGGGTTGATCCCACAGCCGGTGGCCGGCACGGCGATGACAGGGCTGAGAGATCTAAGGTCCAGCGCGACGAGAAGGCAGAATTACACACCAAATCAACTGGTGGCATCCGTAGGAGTGGCACGAAGTGCCAAGACGTCAGACGGTGCCCAGACCATCACCCGGATGTAATCGGAGCGAGCTGGGTCCGCCCACGTGACTCCATGTCAAGTCGCACACGTGCAGGTGGGCTCCGAGACGGCAATCACATTTTATCAGCACCCCGCGTCTTCTCTTTCTCCTTGCGAGTGGGGGGCGGCGCGGAGGCCTGGCCAAGCAGGCCCACGGCGCCGTGGCGGCTGAGGGTGGGGGCAGAAAGCCCGACAGGCCCTGACCCGTCGCCGTCGGGCCCAGCGGGTGCGACGGCCCCGGGTCGCCATCGAAGCACACCGCGTAAAATAATCCTGGCGCGACCCCCAGCTGGGGGAAAGCTTCCTATTGCATAGTTGCTTGGCGTTGCTTGGCGTTGCATTGTATTGCTTGGCGTTGTTTGGAATTGATCATCATTAATTGGCATCAGTTGGTGTTGCTTGACGTTGCTGGACATTGCTTGGCATTGCTTGGCGTGGCTTGGCATTGCTTGGCATTGCCTGGCATGTTGCTAAATTGTACTTGGCGTTACGTGGCGTTGCTGCGCAGACCTTGGCAGTGCTCGGCTTGGCGACCCAGGAGAAGGACACTTGAGGAAACAAACTCGCCTCCCAGGGCGATGCCAACTGCTAAACTCAGGTTATTTCTGTGTGCTCCTGGGAGGTCCAACGGACTGGTGTCCTACGATGATCCGAATGGGACCTCGCCCTCCCGGGCGATGCCACCTGTGCAACTGTCACCACTTGCGTGGGCGCCTGGGAGGTCCAGCGGAGCGGTGTCCTTCGCAGATCCCAAATGGGAGCTCGCCCCCCTGGGCGCTTCGAACTGCACAACTGTGGTCACGTTCGTAGGCTCAAAAGGGGACCAGCGGGGTCGTGTCGCACGCAGATCCAGACGACCCTCTCCTCCCTAGGCAGCTCTGCCGCCAATTTCGTGAGCTCCTGGGAGGTCCAGCGAAGAGAGGTCCCACGCAAATTCCCACGGTACCTCGCCTCCAACCTGGACGCCGCAGACTGCGCGACCGTCGCTACTTGTCGTGGGCTGCCAGGAGGTCCAGCAGAGTGCGGTGCTGAACTGACGGCCCAAACTACCCTCCGCGGGCGCTGCCAGCAGCGCAAGTGCGAACTCCCCCGCGAACTCCTGGGAGGTCCAGTGGAGCGACGTCTTAGACCTGCTGTGAACGATCACGACCATTCGTCGACGCCTGTTAGAACATTTTCGGGGCGCCCAATGAATAGGTCACGGCATGCTCGCACTAAGGGCAAAGCACCCTTTCAAGGGCTCTGTCGACTTGGATAGGGTCTCATAATGTTGTGCTGTGTTGCAGATGGGTCCGGCACGTCCGTTCGCAGTCACACCTGCAATCCGGGCGGAGGCGGTTTAGCGCAGTCCTTCTCCCACCCCCAGTATTCTCATCCTGGGGAGGGTTTTCCCTCAGTTCCTTGATGCCTGCCAGCGTGGACCCCAAACAGTGAGTTCTTACAACCTGGATGTGCAAGCTACGCGGTGTAAAACATGTGGTGCAAGCTACGTGGTGCAAGCTACGCGTTTTGCAAGCAATGTGGTGCAAGCCAGGTATGGTGCAAGCCATGTGGGGCGAGCGATGTGGTGCAAGCCATGTGTGAGACAAGGTGTGTGGTGTAAGCTATGTGGCAACTGTATGGTGAAAGCTGCGCAGTGTTTGCAAAAATCAAGCCAGCCCTCTGGGCGTGAGTGGTTTAGCGCGTTTCCTCGTCCAACCCTAGTGCGGTTCCTCTTCCAACCCCCCTTCTTCCATGTCGAGGAATGGTTTATCCCTTCCCCCTGCCCGCTCCCCCTGGGTCTAGAGGGGATGGGCGGCGGGTCGTTGGAGCGTCCAAGATGGCCTCGGCGAGAAGTCCAAAATCACTGAGGCTGCTAAGATTTCGGCCACATGTTGGCCTTCGTGGGGGCATATTAAGGAGCTCCCATTATTTGACCGAACGACTCCCAGATGGCCCCAAGATGGCCCCCGCGGTTCCGAAGGGTGCCAATGACTGCCCCAAGAGGTGCCCATGAGGCCCCAATAGGCCCCCAAGAAGCCCCGAAGATGCCCCAACGAGGCTCCCAAGAGACACCCAAGAGGCCCTAAAAGGCCCCCCAGAAGCATCCAAGACGCCCCAAGAGGCCCCCGGGACTGCCAAGAGACCCTCCAGACGCACCAAGAGGACTCCAAGAAGCTCTAGAATGACATCCGAAGAGACTCCGAAAGGCATCCAAGAGGTCTCCAGCCGCTCTGTTCGCCCTCCTCCTCGCCCTCCTCCTCCTCCTCCTCCTCCTCCTCCTCCTCCGCCTCCTCCTCCTCGTCCGCGT